AAATACTTGAAAAAATGAAAGAAGTGTATACATTTCATAATTTGATATTAACTGAAAATATTACTAAATTTTCAATATACTTCAAAAAGTTTGGAGTCTTTCACTTCGACTAAGTGTTGTTAGTAGAATTATGAACATTGATATAACATATGTGTACAAAGATATTCATTTTTGGGGGGACTTCTTTTGGATATTATTATTCACTTTGATGCCATTTCTGATATGACTGACGAAAATTTTTTGTCTAAGTATTATAAAATTGATATTAGTTTTGAAATCGTGCATTCTTCTCAAAAAAGTAATATTAACAGTTCTTTTACGATAGCTCATTTACTTTAGCCCTTTATATAGTAGCTTATAAGAGATTTTGGATCCAAATTCAGTCAAAAATTATGGAGATTTTTTTTCTGAAGTTTTTTCGATGAAATGAGTACCTGAAATGTCGGAATACCATTTATCCGATTTTTAAAAACGAATAGTGCACTTTTTTCTGGTGACTTCTGGTCCTCCGGGGGCTTTTTTTCAAAGGAAAGCTAACACCTGACCAGTTCATTGGGTAAAGTCACTATTGAATTCAAAAAAAGGTCAGTACAGTAAGTTGGATGGTTTATAGAAAAATTTCTTTCCACTAGCAGCTCCCCGTCTCGGCTTCACCCGAGACTTATTAAATAAAACAGCGTAGTGTGTTGACATGTAATGTGAAACGTTTTCAGTTAAAAATTTTACACATATTCCTGATACATCTCAGAACAAAAATATTCTCATTGAAAACATATTTGTTCGCAATTCATACAGTTTATTTGGTCAAATAATAAGCTGTAAGAATAAAAAAAAAAATAGATTTATGCTAAAATGAACCGTGAGTTCCTTATGCCATAAAATAATCCATGGCCATAAGAAGCCGTTGATTTACAGTTTCTCCCGTGTAATTCACGAAAAGGGCTATTTTTTTAACCTGTTGAGCTTTTAACCCTCCAAAAAATTTATGTTAAAAAAAATTTTTTTTTCTCATATCTCACAACTTTATTACCAGAGCAACAAAGTCCTGGACCTTAAACCCTACATTTTTATTGCCACAAAAACACAAATACATTTTTTACTCATTAAAAAATCTGAAGTAGGATCTTTAAAGATTTCAGAGATTGCTGTGAGGGTACAATGAAAAGCTGATCTCTCACGTAATGGACTCTTTAGTTGTCGATTTTGACGCTGCTGTTCCAATCTCGATAAATCTTCTGCGCCAGTTTCTTGACGCTTGAAATTGTATTCATTAGATACGTTTGAAGTTTTTCTTTCAATTCATCCTCTTGCGACTTTTAGCATGCTTAAAATTTTTGTGACCCCCAAAAGCTGTTTTCTTTCAACTTTGTTAAGTTCTTATATATTTGTTGGGAAGGTAGTTCGACGTCCGATGGCCATAAAAAAGACCGGTGAGCTTCTTAAGTTAACTCTTTCTTGACTGCAGTTAACAGCAACTGTAACTGCCTGGATACCTCAGGGTGATCTTCTCTGGCCTGCTGTTGAAAACCCAGACTAATCGGGAGAAAAATTACAAAGTCCGAAGCTTTGGGGCTAGTTGTAGTGCTCTTTCCCAACGTCTCCCAGTATAACGTCGAAGACGTTGGTGTCTAAAGCACCTTTTTTATTTGCAGATTCAGTTGTTTTGGTGATCTTAGATGGGAAGATTGGTTAGTGATACTTGTGCACCTTTTTTATTTGCAGATTCAGTTGTTTTGGTGATCTTAGATGGGGAGATTGGTTAGTGATATTTGTCCAGGGAAGGCTATCTCGTTGGCTCAAATTTTTTTTCCTTCATAGCTGTTATAGGTTTGCCCAGTGCAGACCTTGGAGAGGATCAGTGATTCCTGATTGAATGCTTAGAGTCGAGAGGGTAATATAGGGTCGTCGGTCACCGGGTTTTCCAGCCTTGCGAAGAACAACTCCGCAGGTGACGTGTGCTAGTGAATGGCTGACTTGGTTTAATAGTGCCCGTCTTTAGTTAATATAGTCTTTTAGTCGACGAATCGCTTCTGGAAATGGCAGTAAAAATGTATTTGTTGGCAAGGTAGATTACACTTAGGTGGCCCCTAAAAAGAACCGATGAAATTGATGGTGAAGTAGGGAACGTAAATACTTATAATGGCCCTAAAAAGCGACAGTGGTGAAACTTCCAGGCTATTCTTTATTATTATTCCTGATGATGAAGAGCTGGCTACGGGTATCTTGATTCTTACCCTGGGAGTCTCGATGTACGGAGACTGTGATGGAGGGAGGTACGCCGCTCACCAAAGAATATCTCGTCTTCGGTTCGTTCCCTGAATAACCAACCGCTCATCGTTAGACGGGAACATGTGGGTAAGCGCGTTGGGGGCGTGACGACTAAGAAGGTAGCCGTTGTAGCTGCCCGTGCCCCTCAGAGCTGTTTTCCGTGGCTTACATTTGTAGCCAAAAATTCTTTGACTGCACCAGGCGGGATGGTGGGACTACCACATAATTCTGAAGAGTTGGTGCAGATTGTGCATTGGCTAGATATGTCTCCTGGTATTATGCCAGAAACGTCATCGGTTAGAATAAATTTATTTTTGATCGCACTTATCAAGATTCAAGGTGAATGGAAACCTAGGTTTCTTTCCCCTTACAGAAGAGTGTTGTCCATAACCGGGATATTTAGCTGCAAGACTATCATCAGCATTCTCTATGCAGCTCGTTGAACTGCCGAAGCACGACTGCATCACTGTCGAGACGCTCCGGCGTATTATAACCACACTTATTTAATTCTGTTGTAGGTAGCCTCGATTTTATGTCGACGCCACCTAGAGAATTTTACTGAACTAAAGTGAAAAACTGGCGTATTTTTGCAAAACTTTGAGCTCATTTATTTCTATTGTTATTAATTTTTTTAAGATAAGAACTATACTTAAACCATTTAGAAAGTATCATGAATTAGTGTGCAAAATTTCAGCAAAATCTGTTCAGTAGTTTTCGCGGTTATCGATTACAACGGTTTTAGCGACTTTGCTTTATATATTAGTAAGATTATACTTGACAATAGCTGCGGTATTTTGAAGACAATCGTTGCACCCTATGAATAGTACCCAGTAGGATAGATGACCGATTTGGCATATAGTGCTCTTACGCTTTAGTTAAAAAAATATTATTATCTGTGTACTACTGTTAAATAACATCGGTGACCATCAGTTGTGTTTCAAACTGCAAAACATTAATTAAAATATAAATATAAAGTTAAAAAAAAATTAAAAAGGTATTTCAAGCTACAAATGAATCAGTCCCTTTGTAACTGTAGTTTCAAAAAAAAAAAAAAAAAATTCTTTAGACTCAATCCATTTATAACAACTAATTTTTAGCTATTGCTCATACGAATAATTATCTGATGAAATCTATGTAAAGTTTCTAAAACAAACAACGTATGAATTCTATTAAGAGGAAGCGATACTTTCGTTTTATGATTAAATAAGGACTACAGTGTGGAATGGTAAATACACTAATCCTATTCAATATTTGCAGGACGGACAAACTTTTTGACATTAGTTAAAACAAAAATACTGTACGTCTTGCATTGGTTGTTAGATAGATTATTCAATAGTCTTTGAGAACTTTTACGATAACCTTTAATTCAATAGCTAATTACCCATAAATATGAATTTAAAACACAAATAATACAAGAAAATGCTTACACTGCATAAATAATGTAAATAGGAAGTCTCGATAACAGCTTACTATTTATGTATCACTCTATTATCTAGCAGATTAAAAAAACATAAATCATGAAATCATAAAAAATATCATGAAAAACATTCCATTAAAAATAAACTAAATTCTATCTATCAAGTGTTTAAAAAATACCGGAAAAATACTGGTTATGATATGCAAAATATAACTATGAGACACTTATTGTAAAGCAAGTGTCAAAATGTTTTATTTCAACGGTGTATTATAACGATGCAGCTCCTAAAGATTTTTTTGGCTAGTTTTTTTCGGATAAGTTAATATTATGTAATAATTATCTGTCTAATAATACTTAAAGATCATATTTATGTGTTGTAACAGTTGAGAATTTATCCTTTTTATGAATCCCATAGCTCTTTCAAAGTGTTAAAATTTAGTTTTTTACATAAATGTTCTTGTTTTTCCGTTTTGGAGATACATTAACTTTTTTTCAGGGTTATAAAACAATAAGGCACTTTATAAAATCCTGTTCCTTTTTATTTCAGTCAAATAGGAATTTAAATCAAGGTTATGTTTAGCGATTACCAACATAAAAAGAGTTAGCTTATGTTAAATGTTGTTGTTTGTCTTAGGTCTCCCACTACACACTATTATGGCTCGTACTATTTTGACCTAACAATGCTTTACTTAAGAAAAATGTTAATGATCTTAAGTTGTAAGACATTTCATGAAGATAACCTAATACACTGGCAGAATATCAGTAGTTACCATTCTGACTTTCGACTCTGCAATCTTTGACTAACTTGATAAATTTTTCCAGGAGAACCATTTGATTTACAATAAATGTAAGACACATTCATTAATAGCCACAATTTGTCATATAATGTTGAGTTTTTATAATACAATTTTCGTAAATAAATTCTAAGAAATAAGACATAACTTTCATTAAATGAGTTTTGGTATAATATAATAAAATGAAACGTACAGCCCTTGTAAGCTTAACAATTCATCCAAAATTAAAATTCTCATCTGTTTTGAAAGTAACCTAAATTAACAATTAACAACCTAAATTAGCACCTTAACAATTTCAGTTATTAATTTCAGTGCTGCACAAATTTTTTTCTAGTTGTTAAAATGCACTAGGAAGGATACGTGATGTAAAACTAAATGTAATGACGTGGGTTTCTCTAAAGATTATCAATAATGATAGGTGCTCTCGATAAACTGAACTTGTAAAACTGAGTGTACACCACAAATTTTATTCGTAAAAAAATATTTTTTTATTCAAATTAGTATTTATTTTTTATTTTTTTTTTATTTTTCCATCAGTTTAAACGTGCAAGTGAATTTTTAAGTAAAAAAGCAGGTCACTAATCTTCACTAAAGCTTATTCCTAATGTTTGGCCTTAAAGTATCTTATCTCAAAGTTTTCATTTGGTGTCTCAATGTTATTCTAAAATTTTATTCAAAATTATCAAATGTAACCGATCTATTGACATCTATAATAAAATTCTCAAGTACTGCTCTAAGAACTTCACCTTTTATTACTGACCGTAAAGTCAACTTCTTTAACAAAATATGCTTACCTTGAAATTCTTAGATAAATAACAAGAGCATATTCTTTAATACTATTAAGTTTCTCAACAGCAATTTTATGAAAATACTAATAATAAAGAGTGACACAATGTTCTTTGCGGCTTTACTCTTTGTTTCTCATTACAACTACTAAGAACAGAGTAGTAACACAGGAAGAATATTTTTTATTATGTACAACGTTATTGTTTTTGCTTCTCAATTTTGTGACATCTTCATAAAATTTTGCTTATCTTTGCTGTTTTTTTATCTCAATGAATATTTATGCAAAAGAACAAACTATTGAGGTTGCTAATTTTTTTTATGTACAGTAAAAGTTGCTTGAAATCAGCCTTATTTTTTATTTTTATTTTTTGTCAACTTTTTATCAAATAACGGACAGCCAAGTTTTTTTTTTTGTTATTTAAATACAAAATTATTTCATAATAGGCATAGCTGTTGCAGACGAGATGTTAGTTGAATCCCCAGCCCTCCATAATTGAGTGATAGTTTTGGTTTGAGTATGGAAATTAATACCCTGAAACAAAAAGCATAAAACAAACATTTATTAAAATATAAAAAAGGTCTTTCTATAAGCAGTTATTTCAATTTAAATAATTATTTTTGATGATCTAATGAAATTTTTTTGTGAACAAACACTTTTATTTTGGCGGTATAAATATTTGAAAAGACTTTTGATTTACACGTTATATTCTTACTGGTTAATAAAACAGCCTTCACCATACTATGTGTATTTTTGTACAGAAGTGTTATTAATAATTTTACTACATAGTTGTTTTGGTGGAGTCATGCACACCTTCCTCCACTACCCTAAATGGCCCCATAGCCCCAGAAAAAGAATTCTTGGAATTTCTCTGTGATTTTAACCGAATAAAGTGTGAGTAAGACTTACCCATCACCTAACTACCTCCACGGCGCTTTCACCTGTATTTTGTTACCACCCTCAGACCGCTATTAACCTTTATAAAATACGGTAAATATCATTACATTTGCCCGTTATATCGAAAGTTTCAATTATTCTAATATTACAATGTGTACTAATATCTCACTGCCTTCGATTTAGGTAGCTGACACTTAGCGTACATCACTACTTTATTACTTTGCCTCCTCAGTCGTTGCCCACAACAGTCCCAACTTCTTTTCTTCGCTTTCTACCCTCTGCTCCTATATCGTTGCACGTTCATTTACTACACTTCCTTCTGGTCCCTTTCACTTTACTCACGGTCACACTGCCCTCTATAACAGTTCCTTCGTCATCGCTTCCGCTGTTCTACTAGAGAGACTAATGGATTAATTACGATGAATAAGTCATTGAACCTGGGAGGTGCGTTATAGCAGTTGGCGTCCGTGCTAGAATATTGTTATGCATTCTTATTGTATTGTTATTTCTGTCTTTGTTGTTATCACTGCTGAAATTTTGTTATTATTATTATTCTTATTATTATTATTATTAATATTATTATCAAGACGTGCTGTGCGTAACTGCGAGCACACTCCCAGTTAATCTCCTCCTTGAAAACAGAATTGTCTTGTACAACTTGACAAAAGAAAAACTAATATTCTTTGGAAACCTCAAAGAAGTCAGGGCTAAAGACGTGAGTGGGAAACAAACAAAGGAGGAAGCCATGAGCATTTGGCAGCAGAGATGAGAAAGCTCGAGAAATAGATGGGTTACATACTTGTTTATAAAAACGTAAAAGAGACACTCGATTCCAAATGATTCGAATAGAACCACGCATGCGTTCAGGTGCTAACTGGTCACGAAAACTTCAACGCGAGCCTATACAGGTATAAACTGGAGGACTGTGGTATCTGCAAATGCGGGGAGGTTGATACCTCTCAACATCGACTCTCAAGATGTCCAAAAACGCATAAAAGTCGAAAGCAATTCATGCAAAAAATGGGGCTTGAGGACTGGCGAAAGGAAAACGAGTACTTTGTGTCAAGTAAAGAAATCTTCATCGCTTTCTTGGAACTTTGTAAAAAAATTATTGAAAATGAGAATCCCGAGTAAGAAAGATAAGAGTGGTAGCAAATATAGCAAACCTTGAAAGATGGGTGTGAATGGCCTAGATGACTCAGCTGTCAGGGAGCTGTGCCCCTGCCCGTATCACAGCTATTATGCAGTGACAGGCGGGAGCTGGCAGATGCGTCGCCTAGAGGTCCCCGTGGATGCGGCCATCCTGAAAGCTGTTTCCAAATGGTCAGACCTGGAATGACTGATCTAGAAACGGGGCAGCTGATGGTCGTAACGGAAGTGTCTGTCCCGGATTCTAGTTTCACCGCTCATAGAGGCTTATGAATTTTTCCAAGCCTAACCTAAGGTGGGTCTAGCTTGGTTGTAGATAGTAGAATTTTCCAGATTCTCCTTGTATCGACAAAGATGTTAAAGCTTCTCCTGGTGGTGAACAACTGGGAACGGGGAGCAGCACCAGCCAATTGCCAATTTGGATAACATCGCTGTGCACCTCTTCGTGCATCATTTTTTGTTTGTTATTATTATAACTGTTTTTACAATTATTTTTATTCTTATTTTCAGTCTTATTTTATATTCGTTTCCGTTTTTAGACTACTTTTTTGGGTTAATTTATTAGTCTTACTAACTAGAACAGCAAACCAGAGAGAACAACTCTGAGTTTGGGCAGCTGCAATAGCCTCCTCAGCGGTTTTTAGCAGCGGCATGTGTACAGAGAAGGTATTCTCTAAGCCCACTTTCCCGACTACCGATGAGAGGATGGTTATCCGGGGAACGATCCAAAGATGAGATATTCTTTTAGTCAGTGGCGTATCTGCCTCCAGCACGGTCTCCACACACAGAGACTTCGTGGGCAAGAGTCAAGCTACCAGCAACTGGCTCTTCATCATTGAGAATAATAATAAGACATGACTGGAGTATCACCACCGGCTCTTTTAAGGACTATTATAAGTATTTACGTTCCCTATTTAAACATCAATCTCATCGGTTCTTTTCATGGCCACCTATACCTTGCCAACAAGTACATTTTTACTACCATTTCCGGCAACGATTCGTAGATTAAAAGACTATATAAAGCTGGCCACTATTAAACCAAGTCAGTCATTCACTGGCAGACGTCACAAGTGGGGTTGTTCGTCACAAGGCTGGAAACTCTGGCGACCAACAATACTACATTACATTACTCTCTTGACTCTGTAAGTAGTCAACCAGAAATCATCGATACTCTCCAAGGTCTGCGCTGGGTGAACCTAATAACTATGAAGGAATAATAAACTTGAGCAAATGTCACATTCTCCAATGGACAAGCATCACAAATCAATCTCCCCACCTTAGATCACTAAAATGACTGAGCTCTCCAAAAAAAAGATGCTTTAGACACCAATGTCCCTGGCGTAACGTGAGGAGACGTTGGTAAAGATCTCTACAACTAGCTCCAACGCTTCAGACGTTCTAGTTTCCTCACGATCAGTCTGGTGCTATGACAGTTAACCAGGGAAGACCACCCTGAGAAATCCAGGCAGTCACGTTTGCTGGAAACTTCAGTCAAGAAAGGGCTTAGCTCATCAGTCCTTTTGAAGACCATTGGATGTTGAACTACCTGGCCAACAAATACATTACAACTTAACAAAGTTGAGAAAAAATAGCCTTTAGTCACAAGAGAGCGAACTGAAAAGAAAGCTTCAAATGCTCTAAATGTTAAAAATTTTTGGCGTCAAGAAATTTACGCAGAACATTTAGCGAGATTGAAACAGCAACGTCAAAATCAATAAATAAAGAATCCGTTACGAGAGAAATCAGATTTCCATTTTAACCTTGACAGTAATCACTCAAATCTTCCAGATTTTTAAATAGGTAGAGAAATGTGTATTTCTACTTATTGTGGCAATAAAAAATGGAGGGATTAAGCTTTAGAACTTTGTTGCTCTGGTAATAAATTGAATAAAACAATTTCTTAAGTACATATTTTTTATCAGATTTAAATGTTTACAGTTTCAACAAACAGCCTTTTTCATTTATTATAACGTGAGAAAGTGCAAGTGAACGGCCCTGTAGAGCCAGCAATTACTTTATGGCGTAAGGAACGCACGATAGTTCTCAGAATAGTTAAATTTCATTTACTTCTTACAGCTTATTGTTTGACCAAATAAACTGCATGGATTCCGATTAAATATGTTTTTAATAAGAAGCTTTTTATTTTAAGAAGTGTCAGGAATAGATGTAATATTTTCAACTGAAAACGTTTTACATTACGTATAAACACACTTCGGTGTGCGATTCAATAAATCTCGGGCAAAGTTCAGAAGGGGGGGGCGCTGTAGTCCTGAAATTAATAAAAAAATCAATCAATCAGTCAATGTTATGTTTGTAAGTAATCGGATGATTATTTATCATCAAACAATACAAAATAAAAAAAAAAATTTATTTCAGAACGATAATTTAAGTGTCTAAGTAGTTATCTCTATATATTCGAACCAAGATTTCATGTTTATTTTTGCATCTTACTAGAGCTTCATACAATTTACCGTCAGAAAATAAAGACTTTTCGAGATTTAATCCTACATTATTAAAATTTTGACCTCAAGACTTGTTTATGGTTATAGAAAAAGTAAGAACAAATAAAAAATTTTTTACATATAAAATAAAAGGTACTGATTAAGCATTTCTATTGGGAACGTGCAAAAAAAAGCAACTTTTCTTATTTTCGACTTCAATTTTACAATGAAAACCTTATACGTTTAATCATCAAAGTATTATTTGTTATTGACCAACACCTTTTGCCACTAAACTGATCATTTATGGATCCCCTTATAAAAAACTTCTTGGATTTTTAACTCGAAGGAATTATCGACCCACTTTTGCACTTTTTCAAATGTTTGAAAGTGTACACTTTGAGGCGCGTTATTTATCGATCTGAAAATATAATAATTATTTGTCGTGAAATCTAAAGAGTGTACCAGATGCCACAAAATTTTCCACCCAAGAGACATTAAACTTTGACAGACAGGTTTCGCAATGTGTGGTTGGGAGTTATCATACAACAATTTTACTTGATTTGGTCCACGGCCAGTAAATGGACGTTTTCCGCTTAACATTTAAGTTAAATGGTTCAGTTGTAAGCGATAACTTTCTGCTGTAATGGTTTGCTTTGATTGTAGCAGCTCATAATACAAAATTCCCTCTAAATCCCACCAAACACAAAGCAATACCTTATCTGTAAAAATTTACCGTTTTTGAATTGATGTAGAGGGTTGTCTGAGATCAACATATTAATTTTTCCGCTTCAGATTATCACTTTTTATCTCCTGTTATCATTTTTTACTGAAACGACTTCTTATAATGTTTAACGAGGAAAGAATGGTAAGTATTATTTTTCCTCTCCATTTTTGTTTTTATTAGTTACGAACTCTTGAAAAGCATGTGCTCTCTGTAATCTCTATAAGTCTAATGGATGTCTAGAAGTCTGATGACTTTTCATATCTTATGGAAACAATAACGATGCTATATGTATCGAAACTATTAAAAGAACTTTCTTACGCTTA